TTCTTTTTTTCTTTTTGTTGTATTCTGTTATTGTTATTTCCTGTCACAGATTTTTGTTTTTTTTTTGTTTTTTTGCTGTTTTTTTCTGATATTGTAATTCTTTGAAGCATAAATGAAATTCAGATATCCGGTTCAAATTAATTTTTATATGATTTATGGCAACAACAACAACACAAACAATAACGACAACAATAGCAGCGATAGCAACAAACAATACAAATACAATTTTGAATAGTTTGACAATTAACCGAATTATATTCAATGGATATTAAATGTATAACATCCTGGCTTATGTGATATATTTTAATAAGGATGATATATATACTACTGAAATACTAAGTTCTATAAACATTTATGAATATAAGAGTGTATAGTAGAATATAAGTTATGCTCACTAGTGACTAGCTTTATCCTGGAGTTCTGGTTTGTGATAAGTTTTGCAGATTGAACGCTATATTCGTTTCCTAAGCTATTATGTAACCCTCAAGCTAGAACTATAAAGCGACCTCAACAACGAAAGAGAAGATGCAAAGTATGCAAAAAGTAGTTTACTCCAAGGTTCATTTGAACACAGAAAATATAGGGTTTTTATAATATTTTTAAATGTCCTTGTGTTGCTAGAAGATTTTGCAGTGCTACTAAACATAGTAGCAGTGTAGCAATCAGACAATCAGAACCTCTGCATGCGACGTTTCACTTCCTTGATATTTTTGGCTAAAACTTTAAGTGAACGCTGATTGGATGAAACACTTCTTAGTGTTTCCTGATCCTTGCTTTTCTTTTGCAAGAAATTTTCTGGATTACTCGAACAGTTTGAAGCAATGATCAATGAAGTTCAACCGGGTTTTCTGTGAGATAGTAACTCATTGATGAAAATGGTGGATGTGTCGGATATGGATGCTTGCTCAATGGTCTAGTGGTTAAGCGCTCGCACGCGAGATTGATAGGTTTTGGGTTTGAATCTCGCGAGGCGATGTCGTGGATGCTCACTGTTCAGCAGTCACACAACAGGAAGAAATGGCCGTCCAGTGCTTGAAGGTTTTCCATGGTAGTCTAGCTTCAGTTGACTCATGATCTCAAGTACTGAAATTTAATATTAACTTAATTATATCTGTTACCTGTAATGAACAAGTATAGACTACTTATTAACATTCTTCATTTAACTCTGTTCTGAGTAATTCGTCCTAGTTACTATTTATTCTCTTCATATCTGTTTCTATTTTTCAAAGTAATATATTCTTTGGCCTTCCTCTTCTTCGCTTTCATTCATAATTCCGAATTGGGGCTGGTCTCGTGGTGCCGTTTGATGATTTCCACAATCTATGTTCTATCCACCTGAAGAGTCGTTTTTTACTTTCCTCTTCATCTGAACGCTTGTTTGTTCTCTCTCACACAAGGTTTTTACTGATGATCTCTGACCAACGATCATTGAGTATATTAAGTAGACAATTATTTATAAATACTTGAACGCTCTTGATGAAAGTTGTAGTGGTTATCCATGTTTCAACTCCATACAATAGAAGTATCTTGACGTTTGCATAGAAGATTCTGAATTTGATGTTGGTTGATGATGTCAACAGAGAAACAAGAAGCCTTGACTAACTACGGAAGTTATTTTTAGGGACGTTATTTCATTTCATCCAAAACTCGTAAAACAGTAATATTTATTTTCGTCCCTAGTCTATTCTACATATCATAAGCTCTCGTTTGATGTATGATTCACTGCCATAGCCCTTTTTGTTCCAAAGCTATTGTTATTGAAACGTATTATTTTGTACTCTGTTTTCTACACTAAACCCCAGTATTGGACATAATTGTATTTTCCTAATAATTGTACTTTGTGGTCAGGTTAGTCATTTATTTATTCATGTATCTTTTTACAATGATCTGAAATCTGAAAGTCGAGAACCAGATCGAAATTGAGAATAAATCGAGTAGTGTTCCAGTTGGCTTGTCTTCTCTCACTCAGCCAATCAGGTGATAGAATACTTTTTGTCGCTCTCTACTCCAAGCCCTAGGTCTCACTTCGAACTCACGCATACTAGCCTCAAGGTTAAACCAGTTGGCCTATCGCGTCAAGGCCTTAATCTAGGTTAGACAAGTATCCTCTGCACAAAGAGGGTAGACAGATCAAGGACGTAACAGTGGACAGTTGTTTCGAGTTCTATATGTTCTTCAACTCTATAGGTGCCACTATTGCTTTGCCAATCACTGGATTTACGTCTCCATCAGATCCTCCTAGTTCATCGATAATGCTTCCTAGATATTTCAACGTTTCCACCTCTTCCAAAGCTTATCTATCAAGTGTAATTGTGCTTGTACGATCTGTGTTGTATTTGAAGATCTTGATTTTTCCCTTGTGTATTTTGAAGTCCACTGTTATAGTGAACGCGAACACAAGTGGTAACAATCGAACGTATGTGAACACAAAATTACTGAACATCTTAGTAAAATCTGAGAACCATATAGTAAACACTTCATTAGCGAATTGTCAAACAATTGTCTCAAACATAACTATTCCTTCTGCAAAATGTCACTCGTTCATCCTAGACTTCATTGTTCATTCGTTTCCACACCAATCATTCTCTGTTTTCGTTCTCTTTTCATCGATCTTGTTAACCTTCTGCCGCTAGGTAGATCACTTTCTATTAATGATACCTATTAATTATATCTGTCGATATCAGTAGCACACACCACACTACTGCAGACGCTACTGTTATACTGTTTATCTTCATCTGCATTTGTTGATATGTATGGGATAAAAAAAGTTAGGTCATCTGCACAAACGAAATCGTCTATCTGCATTCAAGCTGTTCATTGTATCCCATACTTCCCCTGATGATGATCTTATTACTAAGAAAATATATTAGTAAGAATGAGTACAGAGAAGATAGTGAAACCACCACCGCATGCGCCAGTCCATAGCATACGATTAACTGATGCTCATTGGTTATCCTTCACTTTGACAGGGATCGATGATCTGTTCGAGATTCGGTGATGATTTGCCTAGCGCTTAGTTACATTTCACTGGCCCTATGTCATTTATAACGAAACAGAATTTCATACTACCTAATTAGTTATAAGAAGAACCTTGTGTTCATACTTCAATTAATGAAGTTGAATCTAATGAGGAATACATTCTTTTTAATAAAGCGAGATAATATTCAAAGTAAAGCCAAACAGTTCGCACAATATCTCTAAGCCTCATGACAGCTCGGATGCAAATATGAGGGAGTCATTCTGATCAGACCAATTATTCACTTATTCATAGCATCCACCTTCGTATCCTTCTAGCTGGGATAGTCCAGCCCGAAATATTGGTTTTAAGCATGAGCGTTCAGATTTTAACTTGAAACTTGTTGTTGTCATTATATTCTTTATCTTCATATATGAACTGAAATAACTATGAAAATGTTACACTGACTGAATTGGACTACAGAATGTGGGGGAAGATTTAGAGATGCAACTAAATGATAGAAAACTAAACGCAAATATTATTGAACTATATTGTATCATTCAGATGTCAATTTTAATTTTCAGTATAGGGCTGTGAATATTTTCAAGTTATTGATTGACATCATGAACCAATTGATGTTAGAGCACCATTGAAAACTTGGAAGCAGTGGACGACCGTTTCGTCCCATCGTGGGACTCCTCAGCTACGTGCATCCAGGTTTTCAATAGTGGTCTGACATCAATCGATTCACGGTTCCAATCAATTTTAATTTAACATTTTGATAACTGTAGTTAGTAATACAATCTGGCTCTGCCTGTGACTAGTCAGTTGTATGCACACGGTTCCTAGTGTTAGTGTTCTTACTGAATATCAAACCCTGTACCTAAATTATGTCATTCTACTTGTGACTGGTTGTAAAGTCTGACAAAAGATGTATAAAATTATGTATCTTCATAACTTATAACGTTTGTAGTGAACGAGAACACACAGTGGGGACAACCAAATGTAATTGGACACAAAATTACAGAATCTCTCAGTAAAATCTGAGAACCATACAGTAAATAATTCATTTGCAAAATGTTAATCAATTGTCTCAGAATTCAATGTTCGTGCACTTCCATACCATTTACTTTATGTTCCCGATCTTCTTGAGCTTCTGCTGCCAGACATTGTAATCTTGACTATCGTTATATACTACTCATGTTGATATAAGTAGCACACACCACACATTCACTCATCATAATAGAAATATTCCAATTCACTATCTATAGATTTCAGAACATAATTAGTAACTTTATATGTAAAACTCCTGTCTAAAACGTAATACAGTGTAATTTGGAGTTGTATAATTTGCACAGACCGAAAAAACTGTCTATAAATATTGAAGTTATTACATTCCAACGGCGAGATCATAATTTATAGACGAACCAATCACGTATTAGAGAAAAGGTTTTGGATTTTGGCACGAAATTCACTCATCCATCCCCAACTCCACCTTGCGAAATTCAAACTCAAGACTTATTAGTCTCGAACGCTTAACCTTTAGACCATTGAGTTGGCCGGTATCCAATTATGTTAATGTCTAACTTTAACTAATCCACGAAATTCAATGACACATTCACCAATGTCTTCAGTGAGTTATTATCTCACAATAGACCTGGTTGAACTCCATTGGTCACTGCTTCACACTAGATTGATTATATAAAGATTTACAATAAAACATTAAATTTTCTTTATGATAACTATGAATAGTATTTGGAGATTTACAATTGATTAATCACTAGGTGATGATCATTGTCATGTATGTCAGGTTCTTTTTAGTGTAGATCGAATCCTATCGATCATATGGCAATGGGGTCACCAGTCTAGATGACTCGACATTGTATGTACTATGTTGAGATAAGATGATAGTTGAAGGTAAGTCTAAGGTTTCCTGTTGACTACCTTTAACCACCATCTGTCTTAATGTTTGGAGATATTAAATGAACTGTTTGCAACTCTGTAACAATGTCTAATATTGAATATGAAAACACCAAGTTCAGTGAAGGGATCTGTATTCAATGAATTTAGTATCAAGCTGTACAATCGTATCAATATATATGTGAACATATTTGGTGAAAGTACTTTTACCATGAGGAAATATAAACAAGAAATAATCAAGATGATGTAATAGAAAGATTATAATATTAGATTATGTAATACGAATGATAACCTATAGAATTAATAAGTTAGTAACGAATGAGAACATAAATGTAGTGAAATGGTTTAAATGTTTTTGTTATAATCATTCAAGGTCATTGAAGGCCATTCAAGGTCATTAAAGGTCATAGTGGTGTATAAAATTCAATAAAGTAATATCATGAATAATGATGAATAAAATCATGAGAATATGTTGTCTAAGTCAATGGGGGAAATGCAATAATAATAATAATTAAGGTCAAGTTAATGATAATGATAGGACATACTTCTTTTATAGGCATTGTTCTGGCTTGATCTCATAGATGGTAAGAGTTTCGTTTATTTTTAGCCGTTGGATATGATGAAATCTAGATAGATTTAAACAAATCATATATACAATCTTAAAATCAAAATGTTTACAGTCGATTACAATACATTACACCAAGAAATGGAGGCAGGCATATGAAGAATGAACAACAATTGAATAGAACTTGAAAGGAAGGCTAAAGACAGAAAGGGTTAGAGAATGCTAATCGATGGTCTATGCTCCATTGGGAGTAACAGACGTAAGTAAGTAAGCAAGTAAGTAAGATGTCCAAGTATAGAACTTCTAACTATCTTCCTTGTAAAACCAAACAGGAACATATTTTACTTAAACCATACAAATATACAATCTAATCACATAGTTACAATTGTAAGTTATTATTGCTGGTATCATCATCAGCGTTTCTTTTTTATCATTCTTCAACAAATATTTCGTCCATCATTAATGAAAGTAAGTGTTATATCATAACCATTAATCAATTTGATTAGTTAACACTAAATTGTCCAGATTGAATCATTAATAAAATGTAATGTAATTGACAATATGATTATCATTTGCATGATTACAATAGATATATATTTCACAGATTGAAATCATAAGTCATTTGAAGCTAGACCACCATGGAAAACCTAGAAGCACTGGATGGCCGTCTCGTCCTGGCATGAGACTCCTCAGCAGTGCTCATCCACGATCCCGCACCCCGCGAGATTCGAACCCAGGAATTATCAGTCTCGCGCCAGGCGCTTAACCAGCTAGACCACTGAGCCGGCATTCAATGATGTTAATGTCTAACTTCAACCAATTCACGTAGTTGTGCCAACGTATACCATTGTCTTCAGTGAGTTGATTTCTCACAACAGACCTGGTTGAACTCCACTGGTAACGTGAATGCACAATGCTGAGGAGTCCTATACTAGGACGAAATGGCCGTCCAGTACTTCCATGTTGGTCTAGCTTCAACTGACTCATGATTTCAATCTGTGAAATTTCTAAAATCTCCGTAAACCCCTTATGATAATAGATATATATTTAATTATTATGAATAATAATAATAATAATACTCATTTTAACAAACATTACGTAATCAAATTGTCCCAGATACAGAAACAAAAAGACAAAAAAAAGGTAAAGAGAACATTATTCATTTCATCAATACTCTTCTATGATTTAATTATACATCGATGACATCAGCAACTGACCATATTTTTGATGAAGGATTACATAATTGTGATGGCTGATCATCTTTTATGATACTATTATTATTATTATTAGTAGTAGTAGTATTATTATTTGTAGTTAATTTCGATAATGATCCATATAATAATGGATATTGATCAATATTTTCACAATTTAATTGATTTATTATATGGATTAATTTAGTATGATAATCATTATACCATAAATGATAATCATTGTTATTATGATCATTATTGATGATAGAATTCTCATTAGATAAATTGATCTGATCATTATTATTATTATTATTATTATTATTTAATTTCTCTTTGAATTGTAGACATTCTTGTTGTGGTGATGGTGGTTCTTGTTCTTGTTCTTGTTCTTGTTGCTCTTCTCCGTCTTCTTCTTCTTGTTGCTGGGTAGTTTTATTTAGAAAATATTTCAAAATTAATTGATTTTTGAATGATGTCAAATGAGGAGAATGATGATGATGATGGTGGTGGTGGTGATAGTTGTAATGATGATGATGATTAGTATTGAATGGATTAATTAAACAATCTCTTATTATTGTTGATTTTAATTGACATTTCGTTTGTGATAATTGATCCATATTAACCTCATTATCATTATTATTATTATTATTATTATTATTATCACCACCACCCTGTTTTTGACAAATTTGCATCTTATTATGATTATTATTTAAATTGATTGAATTAGTTACTATCCTATGATGACGTATTTTTGGTATCCATGTCATTTGATTATCTTTTTTTAATCTTCTTCTAGCATTAGCAAACCATGTTGAAATTTGTGTTAAACTTAAATTAGTTATAATAGATAATTTAATTTTTTCATTTTTTGTTGGATATGGATTATGACGATGATTATTTAACCATGTTTTTAATAAATTTGTTGTTTCACGGATTGTAAATTTTTTGATTGTTATATAATTATTAGTTATACCTTTATGAGTTGATAATCTATATATAAGAGAAGAGAAAAGAAAAGAAAATAAAGAACAAAGGAACTGTGGGACTCGAACCCCTGTAACATTCGGGTTCAAATATAACTTAGATACTGAGCCCTAATAGGCAATTACTTGTGCAATAGGTTGAAGGTTAAATTCACTTATTTACGACAACAAATCATCACTCTCTCTCTCTCTCTCGCTTATTGGCATATGTGCATATTGTGAGGATTCCTTCGATATTGACTCAATTTTACAAGCTTTATAAGCAAAGATGGATAGTACCTACCAATGGAATCCAGGATGCACATGTCGTCTTATTCGTGACTCATCAGATGAATGTATCTTCATCTAAGAGTTGATATTAGTTATTTCACTTGGTAACTGATTGTACCTGATTCGCACAGTTGATATTCATTCCGGGACTCAAATGCAATACCATTTTCACTTCGAAACACTATTGCGTAACTCACATAGTTACTGAGTCCTGATAGCCACTTGTTTGTGAAATGAGATGAAGGTTAAATTCACTTAGTATTATTTACTTGAATAATCCTATTGATGCTTAGGACTGTAATTGATCAGTCTCTCTTTCTTATTGGCATATGTTCAATCAGAAAACATTGCCTCGATAATGCCTTTATTCATAAGTATTCTAAGCAAGCATGAATGGTGGCTAGCAGTGGAATACAGGATGCGCCTTTTATCCTATTCAAGACTCATCAGATGGATGTCTCTGAATCTCAGTGTGAATGCACACACTAGAACTCGAACCTAGTAGCGTTCGCATTATCCACCTAGCTACTGAGTCCTGATAATGACTTGCTTGTGCCATCGGGTGAAGTTTAAATTCACTTGGTATTGTTTTACTTGAATCTTCCCATTGATGTTTAGGACTGAAATTGATCAGTCTCATATTGGCATATGTGCGTCCTGTACGAACTGCCTCTATATTGCCTCAAGTCACAAGAAGTATAAGCAAAGATGAATAGTGGCTAGCAATGGAATCCAGGAGATTCATTTTGTCTTATTTGAGATTTGTCAGATGAATATACCTTCAAACTAGAGTTGACGTACAGGGTTTGAGTCCTCAAGTGAACATCCACTCTAAGATACATATACATCCACTCTAACGAGTTAAAAATATGATAAAATGTATACCCTGAACTTCACTCCTAACTATATTCCATCGGTTCTATATAAACTGGTGTGATAATGGCTATATCGAGGCAATCTACACAGGATACCCATATACAAACTAAGACTGATCAAACTTCAATCAAACTATTAGCCAAGAGGATAACTTAAACCAATTAAATGAATATTTCATTCGTTGTTAGTTATTCATTCTATCAATTTATCAATTCTGTTATGAATAATCCAATTTAATTGAAACAAAAGAAATCTGGTAATATGAATTAGTTTATTCTTACTTACATTGGTTTCTTTACTTCTGGCAGAGTTTCATATTCTTTATTAAGGTGTTCATTCTATATTGGAAAAAGAAAAATTATAATCATAGAGAGGTTATGTTGATCACGGGTCAGTTGAAACTAGACGAACATGAAAAACTTGGAAGCATTGGACAGGACTTTCGTCCTATTGAAGGACTCCTCAACAGTGCTCACCCAAGATACTGATTCGAACACAGGACCTTTCAGTCTTGCACGCAAGCATTTCACATCTAGACCACTGAGTCGGTCGGTATCCAACGGTGTTAATGTCTAACTTTAACTAATCCCCGAAATTCAGCGATACATCCACTATTGTCTTCAATGAGTTACTATCTCACAACAGACCCGATTGAATTTCACTGGTCACGGTTTCTCAATAGAACTCCAGGAAATACCTCTTGAAGCCAGTCATTAGTGATCATACAATGATAATAATCAGAGAGTACTTCCAGGATTTTATTGATGATCTAGCTTATATCGGCTCATGAATTTAACTATTCAAGTTAATGGATCTTTTGAATAAACATTCAAATGATTCTATTTATTGCCCACTTCTAGATTAATTATACAACTGTATTATTTTGAAATAAATTAAATCCTTAAAACCTACAAAGTTAATATATATTTAACTTGTTTTGAAGATGGAGATTAACTAACCATTGGAACAATAACTGGAAATTTAATTTTCATTCACACCAACGACAAACTTTCAAGAAATTCATAACTATCTAAGTAGATAAATCATTGAAGAAAATAGCTTATTCCAAGTGGAGTAGGCATTTATTGGCTGAATTCCGTAAGGATCAATCGTGCACAGACCGAATTGCGACACTACGGATCATCGAACAATCAGTTGAGTGGAACTCGTCACTATACATCAACTTCATTGATTATGAAAAGGCGTTTGACAGTGTAGATAAGAGAACATTATGAAAACTTCTTTGACACTATGGAGTTCCTGAAAAGATTGTCGACATTATAAGAAACTCATATGACGGACTACACTACAGAGTTGTGCGTGGAGGACAGCTGACAGATGCATTCCAAGTAAGGACCGGAGTCAGACAAGGCTATCCACTCTCCCCTTTCCTCTTTCTTCTGGTAGTCAAATGGATTATAAAGACCTCGACATCTGAGGGAAAACATGGCATACAATGGATAGCTCAGAACCAATTAGACGATTTGGACTTCGCAGATGACCTAGCCTTCCTATCCCATACACATCAACAAGTGTAGATAAAGACAGTCAGTGTAGCAGCAGTCTCTGCATCAGTAGGCTTCAACATACACATGGGAAAAACCAAGGTCCCCAAACACAACACGGAGAACAGCAATCCAATCACACTTGATGGCTAAACTCTGGAAGATGTAGAATCCTTCACATACCTGGGATGCATCATCGATGTGCAAGGAGGATCAGATGCCGATGTAAGGACGAGGATTGGCAAAGCGAGGGCCGCATTCCTTCAGTTGGAGAACATATGGAACTCAAAACAACTTTCAACCAATATCAAAGTGAGAATCTTCAATACGAACGTCAAGGCAGTTCTACTATATGAAGCTGAAACTTGGAGAACTACAACAACCACAATCAAGAAAGTATAAGTATTTATAAATAACTGTCTACGCAAGATACTCAACATCCAATGACAGGATACCATCAGCGACAGCCTTCTGTGGGAGAGAACAAACCAGCTTCTAGCTGAAGAAGAAATTAGAAAAAAGGCGATGGAAGTGAATCGCATATGCATCACGCAAATCATCAAACTGCATCAGAAGGCAAGCCCTAACTTGGAATCCTGAAGGGAAGTGGAAAAGAGGAAGGCGAAAGAACACATTACGTCGGGAAATAAAAGCAGATATGCAAAGGACGAATAACAACTGGAAAGAGGTGGAAGGGATTGCCCAGGACGTGGTTGGATGGAGAGTGGTAGTGAGCGGCCTATGCTCCTCCACGAGGAGTAACAGACGTAAGTAATGAATGAATGAATGCCAAGAAAATCATGATCTTCTATTCATAAAGTTCTTTGGAACATATTGATTATAAAGTTCTAAACAAGGAATTCAAAAGTAACTTGCTATTCACAATACAAATTCTTTGATTTTCAACACTAAATTAAGTGGTGATACTATCATAATCAAACAATCATTCATATACTGTTTGATTTGAATTACTTACCTCATCAGTTGATGAGGTTATATTACTAATATCATAAAAGTAACTCACTGAACTGTTTTCATTCTGAATCATATTTGAATCTGTTTCACAATCTTCGTTCACTTCTATATAATGATCATTGTTTAAGGTTGATTCATTTGACATGGATCCTAGTTTATGAACATTTAAACAGGATTCTTTTAGTGTTAATGTAGAATTTGATTCAGATGTATGTTTTGAATGTAAACAAGATAATGGATAATTTTTAATTAAATCAAAATGAAGAGATGACCAATTCGATGTGAATACACATGGATGTGGCAATGGAAGCCATGAATTAATTGATTGTTTATCTAGTAATGTATCATACTGAGATTTAATGACATCATTAGTAGCCAACATCTTAGAGGAATAATAATTGTTTGATTTTGAAGTCAAATAAGGCCTGTTCAATATATGTATCAGCCGTCTAAAATAAGAAAACAAATAAAATATAAAGTAACACTACATAGATGATGACTAGCAGTGAAATCCAGGATGCGAGTGTCGTCCTATGTGGAACTCATCAGATGGATGTATTTGCATCTCAGATTTGATGCTCACTCTTGGACTCGAACCCAGAACCACTTGCTTCAATCGCCATCACGTTATTCACTTAGCTGCCACTCCGCCTGGAGGCCCTCTGAGGCTACCGCCGATCCCAAGCCCGGATAAAGGAGGGGGTTGGGCATGGAGTTAGTGATCCCATTCCGTAGAAAACTAACTCACTAGAAAAATGTTAACCAGAAATAATAATTCAAACCATTTAAACTCTGCCCTGGGAGTTAGAATGTCTTCATTAAGAAAAGTTATGACGTCTCATGATGGAAGCCGACTTCCTTCGGAAGTCACCAAGCTGATGCCCCTTCTGACAACCAGAGCAACCATTAATTTAGTAACTAAGTACTCCGCATCGATTTTTCAAGTCAGGAAACTGGAAATATCAAATAGATGTGACGAATTACCTTTACTTACTGTTAAAACAAAAACAAAATTTAACTGACAATTCAATTTTTGGAACACTTTTTTAATTCTAATCAATTTTGTTTTTACATCAGAACCATCTTTCACAGTTACAAACATGGTTACAATGAAATTATTTGAAACGGATTGCTAAACGAAGTTTTGCACACTCTAGGAACTTTGATAATTCAGTGATTCAATCGTGAACTTTATATTACCAAACTACTTTGTAAAATCTTCCGTTCTATCAAGGTTTTATACCCCTCCTTAATAATAGGTTGCTATTACTACCAAAATACTTAGATCCTAAACATAAATCAGTTTTAGTAGGTTAGAGGTAACTAACGAAAACAAATATTTGACTTTGTAGTGACTTAGCTTCGTTAATCAATCACCTTGATAACCGTTATTATATAAATCTCAACAGTGTTTGAATTCAGAAGGTAATAAGAAGCAGCGACTACAGTTTGTTTACGGATAGCACAGATAGAAAAAAGTTACAAGCATATTGAGTGAATTGGAGCAGAGAGACTAATGTCTGTGTGCGATAAACTACCGTGGTGAATTTATAGTCAAATCGAATCACCGGCAAAGGCTAAGCAAACCGATGCAAATGCTATTAATAGGATTCAAGTGAATACATATATAGGAAGAAGAATCACTCACCGAGCTATATTTAAGCGATCAACATTTAAGCTAGAGAGATATATATGAGTAGGCTACCGCATGTGATCAAGTGTATACGTTTATATAGACATGATAGTGATCATAATAGTACAAAGAAATAGACGAATTGTTACCGTTCGAATAACAAAGGACCCTAATCAAAATTGATTGTAGGTGAATTGCTATAATCTAAAGTATCTTGGTAATTGATTCTATTTAATAAATTTTATGTGTAGCTACAATGTACTTGTGTCTCTTCATTCAATTCAAATCTATTTACAATTAAATTGATCACTGAGAATTGACAAATGTTATATTTGTCTAATCATTCAGTAGTGATTGTATCTTGTTGAACGATTTGCGTAATATGGCCACTATTCTAAGTCAATCAACGTCATCAACATTATAGTTGAGAATTCTATATTGTACCAAAATATAATATTGAATAAAGCCATTAATAATAATAATAGTTCGATGTTAATTTGTGATGGTAGAGAATTTTCAGAAAACCCTACTTGACGTAGGCTCCATTTATATCCTTTGTAAACTACCAAGTATTAACCAGATATTTCAATAGTTGAGATCGTGAGTCAATTGAAGCTAGATCACCATGGAAAACCTGGAGGCACTGGACAGCTGTTTCGTCCTATTGTAGAACTCCTTAGCAGTGCACACCCACGATCCTGCCTCGCGGGATTCGAACTCAGGACCTAGTGGTCTTGTGCGCGAGCACTTAACTAACAGACCAGATAATTAGACTAAGATGGAATGACTTCGATTAACAAATTGACTGAGTAACTATTAATTATTCTCCGAAAGTTTAATTCTGCAAGTTTTTTTTCATACAATCGACATGAGAGAAAAGCTGACTGTTGGTATTCTCCTTGAATTAATGTCAACCGGTAATTTTAACAACTTTTAGAGATATTCACTTTAAAGATATTGATGAGTTCTTAGATGAAGAGGTGTGGTATGAAATGAAGCTTAATGAAAAAATTAAGCTTGTTAATATGAGGTCAAATATTTTTGTGTCTGATTGTGATCTAAATGTAAACAAGAAAAACATTTTAACAGTTGAATTAATTAGTCAATCTATGCTAGACTACAATTGAAAACCTGAAATCACAAGATGACCATTTCGTTCTAGTACGCCAATGCTCAAGTAAGAACTGAACAGAAGATCTTCAGGCTCGCTTACGAATGTCTTACCTTTAGACCACTGAGCTGACATTCATTGGTGTTGATGTCAAACTTCAATCGATTAATGATCTTGTGCAATCTTTCCTACATTGTCTCAGCTGAATAACTGTCTCCAACCGATACGGATTTGACTCCATTGGTCACGATTTCTCACTCGAACTCCAAGAAATCCATCTTGAAGCTAGTCTTTAATAAGCACATAGTTTTTATCTGTATGAGGATTTATGAAGATTGTAATATTTTAACATTTGAATCCACGAGTCCCGCGTGTGGGGTCATGGGTGCGCACTGCTAAGAATTCCCCTACGAGAATGAAATAGCCATCCAGTGCTTCCAGGTTTTCTATGTTGGTTTAACTTCAATTAACTCATCATCTCATTTACTACAATTACTATAATATCCACACACACACACACACACAAAACCCTTCTAAAATGATACAATAATCTATTGTTTGTGAGAAAAGAGTTCGACTTTTTAAATGAGCTACTTTATTCATTCAATTGGATTTTATTTATTTATCAATTTCATAAGTGAACCGAGAGAGAAAGAGAGAGAGAGGGGGAGAGAAATTCTCATTTATCAATATAACAATGACCATTTATGTTTGGTAAGTTATGAGAAATTTCTTGTAAATATTCCCACTGAATATATATTACATATTTATAGGATAATAATCATGGTGATAATGAGGAAGATGTGGATGACGATGGGTGGTGATTATCATTAAGTTGGACTTAGAACAACAAATCTAATCATAATAAAACTTACATAATTGAAAAACATATACCTTAATCCCTATGTACTACTACTAATAGTAGTAGCAGTAGTAGTAGTAGATGAGAACATAAACATCTGGAAGAAAGTTTTTATTATGTTCAACTAATAGTCACTATCAGATTTTTCAATCAATAATCAATAATAAAGAACTTTCGTTAAACTAATATCTGGTGTGTACATATGGCAATAAGAGAGAGAGAGAGACTGATCAATTACAGTCCTAAACAACAATAGAAAGATACAAATAGAACACCACTAATTGAATTTAAAACTTCACCCCATTGCTCAAGCAATTGCTGTCAGCACTTAGTAGCTAAGTAGATAATTCGATAGTATTTGAAGCGAATCGTACTGAGTTAGAGTCCCAGAGTGAACATCAACTCTCAGATGCATTTACATTCATCTGATGAGTCCTAAATAGGATGAATCGAGCGTCCTGGATTCCACTACTAGCCACTATCTATCATTGCTTATAATGCTTGTGAATTAAGACAATATTGAGGCAATCTGCACAGAATTCACACATACCGACATGAGACTGATCAATTTCAGTCCTAAACATCAATGGGAAGATACAAGTAAACAATAACACCAAGTGAATTTAATATCCGGTTGTTTTCGTACAGATTTTTTTGTGAACAAAATTGAAAGATTGGCTTCTATTCAAATTTAACTAATAAGATGATGATGATGAGATATAGATGATATATCTAGAGATTGGGTTCTTTGATACACTGCTTATAACTTAAGTACTCTAATGCTAGTACTCTCCACGTCGCAAATGAGAAGACAGAAGACAAATGAAAGGAATGTTATTTCAAAACAGTGCCGAATACGATACAAAACTATCAGGCATTTATAGTTTTTAGTAAAAACGAAATCATCATTATAGTCTTTTAATCCGCATATAGGAGGTTATTAGCATTTATCCAATAAGTAAGTTATACGTCGAGATTCTGGAATGTTCCTCCAAAAGATGATTATATGGAATGCCTTTGACTCTTTCTGACCTTCTTAGAGCTTCCTTGAGTACACCTGTGGGCCGTCCTCACAATAAAAAACTTTGAAACTGTCAAATTGAATGTAGTTAGTAAAAAAGATTGTAAATGGTATGTTACTTAAGTCCTTCAGTTGTATCACACTGAAGAACATGTTTAATAAATTCAATTACTATTTAGACTACTTAATTGCTTAATAGTAATATATGACTCATTATTGCTTTGTTTTCAAAAGATGTTTATTGAAATGTATTTATGTATACTCAAGTCGAATCTCGTTTTTTACTAAACGATTCTTCAAATGTTTTAACACGTAACTAACCGAATTTCAGTACTAATCTCAGACATTTTCATCAACAGTAACTGTACACAGAATAGAAGAACAATCTGGCTTTTTTTCAATTAGTTACAATAAGTTTAGCATTGAAGACAAGAGATTGTTGGCACAATTTCGTGGATTGGTTGAAGTTAGACATTAACACTGTTGGATGCCTGTTCAATGATCTAGAGGTTAAGCGTTCACGCGCGAGACCAATAGGTCCCGGGTTCGAATCTCGCGAGGTGGGTCGTAGATCTGTACTGCTAGAACGAAACAGCCGTCCAGTGCTTCTAGACTTTCCTTGGTGGTCTAGCTTTAATTGGCTCATGAATTCGACTATTAAATTACTAAAATCTTCACAAAACCCCCTTCAAATTAACTACTTACTATATAGTTCTTAGATTTTTGTGAGATGCTCTGTAATTTCGTTTTCAAGT